CTGGCGTGGCCTCTTGGCAGGATGCGATCACTCTGTGGATGTAGCTAGAGTCGCGTTCTTTGAGATTTTGCTGGACTTGCGATGCTCTTGCATGCCTCTCCAGCTTGGCGTGTAGGTTGATGCTTGCTTGCAGCGAGTGTCGAGCCATGCCAGCCAGGGAGGTGGACTCGAAGTCTGTGCGGGTAGCCGGGGCGCTTTGCAAGCTCAGCAGTGATGGGGCCCCGGGATCTCGAGTGCGAGTGTCATCGTGAGTTGGCCCAAGCACTTCCTGGCCATTGAAGTCCAGTCTGCTTTGCGTGCTCGTGGCCTGAATGTACGGGCCATGCAGGCGGCCGAAGATCTGGGGGTGGGCGCCGCGGCCACCGCGCGCAGCGTCGCCGCCCGGGAAAACGCGAGTGTGGGCCTTTGCTAGTCGTGCCAAGGTGATCGCTCAGGCGGTCAAAGTGGCGCCTAAGGCAAGGCGCCCTGGGCGCGCGTTTTCTTGGTGCCCCGGGCGACATGGGGACTGGCGTGCGTAGTCCTGGCCCTCGCTGTGCTGATGCGACCGCGAACGTACGTTTCCGCGCGTTCTGGTGCTCGTTGCGAGGTCGGATGCTCGACCGCAGTTATTAATCTGATAAGGGGCGCCGACAGCGATCCTCTAAGTATTGGTCGCCCGAAGGTGTTTTGGTCGTAGTATGAGCTCCCCCTTTCCCTGGCGCGTGCGTCGGGGCGTCCATTGCAGCTCGCGTGGGCAAAGGCTTGGGTGCATTCCGATGTGCGAAGCGCAGGTGGGGCCGCGTTAGGGGGCCCCTCGCGGCTGCGATTGCTTGTCTCCAGGTTATCTCAAGGGGCTCCCGCAGAACCGTAGATCTGGATTTACAGGTCGGATGGCACCGTGTTTGACTTGTGCGGCCGTGGCCCTGAGAAGCTTCTCGGTTTCGATTTCCGAGGCTCTTTGGAAGGGCAAGTTTGGGCCGAGGCTGCCCGGCGCTACCGTGGGAACAGGATTCGAACGCAGTGCCGATTTGCGCATTGCGTGCCGACATCTGGAGCTCTGCGCCGACGTGATCGGGCCGCCGCGTCGCGGGTGGTGGCGACGGGGGGATTGCGGCCAGCTGCCGGGCGCGTCTGGGAAGAGAGTCTCCGGCCTCCCCCCCCTGAGCCTCCTCCCTTCGGGCCGCCCCTCGTCAGGAGGGGAAAAAATGCACAGACACAGTTCCTCGTCGATCCCCCAGAAAATGTGCGAAAGTATGGGTAGTGGGGGGGGAAGACACAAAAAACCCAGAACATCTGGGAAAAACACTGGGGATCCTTTTGTTTGTGTGTGTATTCATTGGTGTGTGCTTGTTTGTGGGCCCCTGGCCGCCCCTCGCCCGAGGAGCGCGCCCGCCCCCCGCCCCTCCGGCGCCCGAGGCGGGGCGGGCCCCCGCGCTGGGAGTGATGGGGCGGGGAGGGCTCCCTGCGGTCTGGGCGGCCCTCTTTGTCGGGCCGGGCGAAAGGGGGGGATTGGGAAAGGGGGGGTTACGAAATTTGCTGCATGCAGCTGGTTTGGGCCCCACCGAGGAGCCCATTCCTCGATACATGGCCGCTTCCTGGCGCCGGGAGGCGCCGAGAAAATCAGCTAGGTGAGCTGCTTCTCAAACTCCCCCTTTGCTATCTCCCCTTTCGCCCGACCCGACTTTGGAGCTCAGCAGGCCCGAGAGGGCGCGCGAGCTGGCCGGTGCCGAGCCAGCGGGGGCGGTTCTGATTGCTCATGCCTCGCCCAGTTGCCCGCGGTGTTGGGGCAGCGCCAGAGACGCCGCTTCATCGGCTTCGGCCCGGCCCCTGCGACGTTCAGATGGAGGGAAGCTGCTTGTAGAGCTTCTGCCCGGGGCCCAGGCCGAACGGGAAGCGCTCCTGCGTTTCTGGCTTCGGCCCCCCTCCCCCCCCGTGTTGACGTGGGCGTTTGTGCCCGTCCCCAGTAGGTGCCTCATGCCCGCCGGTGTTTCCCCGCAGCCCCGGGGAGGGCCGATCGATCGGGATGCGGGGGCCGCCGCCGTCGGGGCGGACGAGTCGGGCGGGTCGTGCTCGTCGGAGGCCGGGCAGAGGAGGCGTGAGGGGAGGTTTGTGTAATTCTCGGGGGCGGAAAAGAGGGGGGTGATGATTAGGGGGGGGGGGATATCATGGCGGGGGTCATGATATTTCCCTAGATTTCATGGCGCCTCTTCTTATTTCATTACGTCCCTGGCCCCCCCGCTGGGCCGCGCACATGCCGCCAGTCATGATTTGCACCCCCCCCCCTCTTGCACCCCCCCCTCTTGGCCGCTCCCGAAATTCGGGGGGGTCGGCAACTTGGCTGGGGGCATGGGCTTCTACCTGGATTTCAAGAGTCAGTCCTCTTGCTGGGCTCGAGGCCATCATCCAGGCCCCGCGGAGCTGTGTTGGAAGTGCCGTGCTGGCACTGGACATCGGCTGTCACGATCTTTGGGTTTCGCAGACGCCCCACCTCTATTCGCAAGGTTGACGCTCTTGCTTGAAGGTTGCTTTGGGAAATCGCCCAAGACCGCCCCAGAGTAGTGCACAAGGTGAAGAGCCACACGCGCCCTGCCCCAGAGCGTTTTGGCGGCCCTTCTGTGCAGCATGTGGTTGGCTAGTGGATCGGCGGGCCAGGCGGCCGAGCTTGGTGCCCAGGGGCGTCAGTTGACCAGCCATGTCATCCATGAAGTTGCGCGTTTGGAGGAGCTGATGTGGAAGGTCCAGATGCATTTTGCAGCAGTGGTACCAGATGTTGCGTCGAAGCCCCGTGAACTGCATGGTCCCAGCTCGCGTGCTGCTCGAGCGGCAGAGGCGAAGCTTCGGGGCAAGGGGCGTGCTGCCAGGGCAGGGGAGGCTAAGGTAACTTCGTCCCATCACGTTGGGCAGGGCACCGAAGGCATCACGTGCCTCAGGTGTCCCATTCACGAGCTTATAATGCGTGAGTGGTTGGTTTCCCCGTGCTCCAAGGCCCCCAATTGGCATCGACCTCCCGCACTGGTTGGGCTTTTGCAAGGGGGGTTCTGGTGCCAGATGTGTGGGGCCAGTGGCACGGGAGGCAAACTCGTAAAGCCCCGCAGGGTGTGCCGTCTTGATAGAGTTGGAACCTGGGGGGCGATGGTGATCAGCGCCCTAGGGGTGGGAAAATTCTTCCCTGGGTTCACGACCTGGACTGAACCAGGACCATAGTCGCAATCCCCGTAGTTTTCGGTTTTGGCGTGCCCGATTCTGGGATTCCACGCTTCAGTTCTGGAAGTGGAAGGGGAGGAGAAGGATGATGATGAGGAGGAAGAGGAAGAGGAGGAAAGGGACGAGGAGGATGAGAAGAGGCGGAGGAGGAGGAAGAGGAGAAGGAGGAGGCGCAATTGCGATGAGGAGTAATTGGGCCATCAGGAAAGGAGGAGGGGGAGGAGGAAGTGGAGGAGGAGGAGGAGGAAACGGAGGAGGAGGAGGAGGAAAAGAAAGAGGAGGAGGAGGAGGGGGAGGAAGCGGATGAGAAAAAGAAGGCGACGACGGGGAGGATGAGGCAGAGGACGACGATGGTGAGGTGGCGAAGTGGAAGAGGCAGATAAAGAAGTAAGGCGACGACGACCGCGACTACGCCCATGATGATGATAGTGGTGGTGGTGGTGGTGGTGGTGGTGGTGGTTGTGAGGAGGAGAAGGGAGGAGGAGGAAGAGGAGTAAGAGGATGATTATCAAGATGCAGACTGTGAACCTGATGATGGTGACGAGGATGACGATGTTGATGCTGCTGCTGATGATGCTGATGATGCTTATGCTGATGCTGATGATGCTGATAATGCTGCTACTGATGCTGACGATGATGCTGATAATGATGATGAGGAGGAGCAGGAGAAGAAGGAAGAGGAGACGGAGGGGAGAAGATGAGAAACACGACCTCGTTCATACTCTTCTTCGCCTCCGCCCCCTACACGATTACCCACAATTGCACAGTATGCATATGCAATTCCCCCCCTCTCTCTCTCTCCCTCTCTCTCTCTCTCTCTCTCTCTCTCTCCCCCCCCCCGCCCACAGACGGCCTGAGACTCGCGCGCACCCCTCCGCGTATGTAATTTTACGTACACGATGGATGGGTCCGACTTGCTTTTCTGAACGTTCTCGGTCCGTCCAAAGTTGTATTCCCGTTTCTGCGCGGGCCTCATTTTACGATCGGGGCGTTGCTCCTGTCGTTCAGAGTGGCGCTCTCTCCCCAGTGCGGGCGATTTTTCGGGCTCCGAGTCATCCAACGTCGATGTTGTTCACCTCCTCGCTGTCGAGCCGTGTCTGTCGTACCCGTGGGAGGCAGCAGATGCGGGCGATCGCGTGCAGCGTATGGGTTGTCTTGGTGTGTGGGTGGTGTAGAAGCGCTGGGAGTGAGCGCCGCGGACTTGTCGCGTCACCCGCAGTGCGCGTGATGGTCGTAGCAGTCACTGTCGTAGCAGCGGTACTTGGTGGTGGTATCGCTGTTGATCGTGGCAGTGGTGCGAGAGTGGAAGTGGCAGTGGTAGCAGCAGGCGCAGCGGCGCAGCGGCAGCAGTTGCGGCAAGATTTGGACCAGCAGCTATGGAGGAGGAGGAGGAGGAGAAGGAGGAGAAGGAGGAGGAGGAGGAGCAGGAGGAGGAGGAGGAGGAGAAGCAGGAGGAGCAGGAAGATAGGGCGGAGGAGCAGGAGGACGAGGAGGAGGAGGAGGAGGAGGAGGAGAAGGAGGAGGAGAAGAGGGAGGAGAGGAGGAGGAGGAGGAGGAGGAGGAGAGGAGGAGGAGGCGGAGGAGCAGAGGAGGACGAGGAGGAGGAGGAGGAGGAGAAGAAGGAGGAGGAGGAGGAGGTGGAGGAGGAGGGGAGGAGGAGCACGAGGAGGAGAGGAGGGGAGGAGGAGGAGGAGGAGGAGAGGAGGAGGAGGAGGAGAGGAGGAGCACGAGGAGGAGGAGGAGGAGGAGGAGGAGGAGGAGGTGGAGGAGGAGGAGGAGGAGCAAGAGGAGGAGGATGAGGAGGAGGAGGTGGAGGAGGAGGTGATGACGGAGCCAGGGGCGAGGCCTGGCGGCGCCCGCTGCTCCCGACCCTGCGTTGGCGGAGCGCCGCGAGAGGTCCCCACGGATGCCTTCAGCTCTGCTCTGCTCACCTCCCTCCCTCAAGGACTCGTTTGTTGCCGGGAAGGGATTGCTCACCTTCAGCTCTGCTCTGCTCACCTCCCTCCCTCAAAGACTCGTCTGTTGCCTTCAGCTCTGCTCTGCTCACCTCCCTCCCTCAAGGACTCGTTTGTGGCCGAGAAGGGATTGCGGGGGTGGGCAGACCTCCTGCCCTGACGCGTCGATTAGCGAGTTGGCCGTCTTCGGTTCGCGAGGGGGCGTCGCGGCCGTCATTTTTGCGGGTCCAGGTCCGTCGGTTTCGGTGCCGGGCCGTTTTCTCTAAGGGGAGGTTTACTAAAGGGATGTTCGTCCACCGCCGAAAGAAGGAATTCCTGTCCTGTATCTCTCGCGTGCTCGACCAGAGACACGTGCCAGTATTTGTCGGTGGTGATTGGAACTTCTGTGCGATGGGTGGGAGCCCGTCAACATGCTGATCCTACTCAGGATCGTTCGCCTAGTGGTTCGATGGCGGCAGAATTCGGCCGCCTCTTCCAGAGATATATTGAGCTTGCGCCGGAACATCATCACAGCGTATATCCATCGGTGCTCCTCGACCTCTCCCCCGCAGCTGCTGTTGAATTGCAGCCAGCAGAGCTTCGCGACGTTTGTGATCATGTCCCTGTCAATGCTATTCTGGCGGTGCCGCCCAAACGCCACAGCAGTCATTCCGAGATGAGTCTGCCGCCATCCCGAGTTCGTAGTCAAGGTCGAGCGCTTGATCGGCGAGATGGAAGTCTCGGATGATGCAGCGTTGGCCGTTCTAGAAGTAAAATCGATCATGAAAATTGCCGCGCAGGAGATTCAACATGAATATTGTGCTGATATTTCCAGATCGATTGGTCATATAATATCGCGGTGCATGGCTATTGATCGTGCTCGTCGGCTCAATGATCATGACCGTCTGCGTCTCGCTGTTCGTCGATTGGCGAAACTGGAAGACTTTCCCGATGATAACGATTACCTTGCCGACTTGATGCGTTGTATGCTTACGTTACCGTGCCTAGCCGACAACCACTTGAAGATGATCGTGCTGCGCTTCTGAGTGATAGATCCTCCACCACGCAGGCTAGGACTGCTGGGTTAGCAGACAATGAGAGGCTGTCTTGGGCGTGGGCCCCCCGTCACAAGCAAGTACTGCTGCAGGGGAAGGTGGGCCCCTCAGGCAACTCCCACACGGACCCTCAAGTTTGTGCCAGCCTGCTGCAGGGCCACTGGGCGTCTGTCGCCCGACCTTTTCACCTCCGCCAGGACAGCATGCACTCGCTTCGGCCATGGATCCAGCCTGCTCCGCAGAACATCCTGTGGACCCTGGGTGAGGAGATGTTTGACTTCCTCGTGACTAAGCCCAGAGACTCGAGTCCTGGACCGGATTGTGTTCCGCATCCTGGGTGGAGGTATGAAGGGATCTCGGTTCGTATTATCTTATATCGTCATTATCGTCAAATCGTCGACACGTGGGAGATTCCTACTAGTTCAAAGACGCATTCCATGCCTTTTTCCCGGAAGGCGCGCTGCAGGCGGAGACGATGAGAACGACTGACCAGACGAGGCCACTAGCCCTAGGGAACACATATTGTAAATTGATTTGCAGTGCTCTCGCGCAGCCGCTCAAAGAGGTGGCCCGCCATACCGTCGACCCTGAACAGTGTGGCTTTCTAGGAGGCGTATCTCTGGTGGATAATGTACTTGCTTTTGATCGTAGATATACCCAATACACTGCGTTTGAGGATGCCCCCTCTCTTGGTATGGCTTTCTATGGTATCAGACAAGCGGTTCCTCGTATTTCACGCGACTGGAGTTTGTATGTATTGAAAGACATGGGGAAGTCCGGTTGGTAATGCAGTATCGTGCAAACTTGTGCGACAACATGCACATGCACGTCCGTTTTGAAGGCCATATCTATGGCAAGTTCATGGTTGAACGCAGTATCAAGCAGGGTTGTCCGTTGTCTGGCCTCCTCTTCGCCTTTGGCCTTGGTCCGTGGATCAGGAACATACGGCAATATTTAGATTATGTTCGTGCTCACCCTTGTGCTTATGCCGACGACTTGGGCATCGCCGCTTTTAATCTTGGCCGCGCGCGCCAGCGTATGATGCATCACTTCGTTTTGTTCGCCAGCTGCACGAACCTCTTTTTGCACACCGCGAAGTGCCAGTTCGTTCTGCCGCACGATCGTGCAACATCCATTTTCCGTCAGGATTGCCGGGTGAAAAAGATCAGGATTCGGGCCTTCGAACCTCCAACACCAGACGTTTCGGGACGCACCTGAGTGTCAGCTTGGGTTTTGGGAATAAAAATCTTGAACGGGTCGGCCCTTGCAGGTCCTTGATGCGTCGGGCCCGTGATGTGAAGAGTTTCGGTTTAGGTCTTCCAGGAAATATCCACGCTTCCAACGTCTATTCCCAACCTGTTCTACAACGTATTGCACATTTTTATTATTTTAATAAGAATGTGATAGATTCCGAACGAGGAGCCCTTCAATTATTCCGAGTCGCGCACATCTATTATTTGAACGAGTGCCCTGTTATATGATTTGAAGAGCAACGGGATCTCATGCCAGACGAGATCGGTGGCCCAGCATGCCCGTGCTGCCCTGTTCCGAGTCCTTTCTCAGTTTGATGAGTTTGCCCGTGTTCGTGAGTGTTTGGAAGGATTCTGGTATTAGTATAAGTGTGAGCTGTTCTACATGCGTTTTCCGACGTATGCATTTTCTATGTTCATATATGCTACACAATATCGAGTCTCTTATCAACATCCCTACCATGCCCACGGCGCTATGTAACGGCCTCCAGAGTAAGATTGTGGAAGCACTGCTTAGCCTCTCTCCTGTCCCTTCCTCTGCGCGGTCCTTCAGTGCTCGATTGAACTACAGGTGCCCCGGGACCCTCCAGCAATGTGAGATCTCCAGGTGTAGTTTAGACAAGATCGGGCAAAAGCTCGGTCCTTGTGTTGCTAGTTCGGCTTTGAAGGCTCTGTGTAATGCGTGGGCCACTTCCCGTCGGTTCCGTATGGGGTGCCAGGGGCGTACGTTCGGCTGCTATGCTGTAGACGGAGATGAGACCGTACATTCTATTTCATGTCCATGCATGTTGCCCTGTATCCGTGAGTGTCTTCCTGGCCTACTTGCAGGCTGGGGCGATGACCCCATTACCTTGTTTGTCTTGCCCTTCATCTCTCTCGTCGATTCTGACAGCTTGCTCAGCGTTGCCCTTGGACCCAATGTCCTTTTAGCCTCATTCAATTCCCAGAGAACTGCAGGCTCTGTTGGCGCTCGATCGGCCAGGCTTTCCTTCAAGGCGAAGCTTCGGGCACGCGCCATCCGCAGTGCCACTGCGCGAGGTCTGGCGCACGTTGTTCGAGGCGTGGGTGGTGGGGGCGGGTGATCTGCCCTCTTCTCGTTTCGTGCTCTTGACCGCCTGCTCTCGTCTCTTTCTCGAGCCGGGTCATGCCTCCTCCTCCTTCTCTTCCCCCTCCTGCGGAAAGGGCGGGGTCGCGCAGAGTTTCTGTCGACATTGAAGGCGCGGTGTGGTTTTTTTGCATATGCAGTGGTTTCGCGACAATGCTTCTCCTGATGAGATAGATCTTCGAGGTGCTAGGGCGGATTTTAGTGGAGTCTGGTCAGGCCTGTTTCTCTCGTACTCGTGAATTAAGACCGGAGTATCCAGCGGGCTGCGCGCGACGACGTAGTCCGCTGGCACAGCGAGTCGAGCCTCGGAGCGGTAAGTATGACGCCTCCCCCGAGGAGGCCCTTCGCATCGAACAGGAGTTGAAAGAATTGGCTCGCCAGTTTTTTTGGATCGACGCCGCTCAACCAAGCGGCTTCGCACCCAGCTCGTCGCCGAAGCAGTGGGGCTCTGGCGCAAGGGGCGCGCGACAGGAGGAATGCGATTGGCCCGCCGCGCTGCCCGCGCTCGCTGCGGGCCGAAGCGCCGCGACGGCCGACTGGCGCGCTGCGCCCCCCCTCGTCGTGGAGCTTGGCTAGCAGCGCGGGGCAAGTCTGGGGCAGATTGAGGCGTGGAGGTGGTCGAAGAATCCAGGGGCAACTGGGGGGGGGTTCTCGGGTGGGCGCAGGGGTTTACTATTCCGACGTCTCTAACGAGGAGATACTAGAACTGGCCAAAGAAGATGCACAAGTTATTCCGAAATATGCTCGACGGCCCCCCCATGCAGAAAATCAGCGCCTGCTGGGGCCGCGCCGTTGGAGATCTGGCATCAGTGTATGTGGCTTAATTATCGTGTTCGTTGTCGGGCAGGGCTAGGATCGGAGACTAAGTTGACATCGCCGCAAGGCTTCTGGTTTCGGCTTGGGTCTAGCTGAGGTGAGGGGGTATCAGGAGGTGCCGTTTTATTGGAACAAGTCCAGGGGTGCGAACATAGCCTAGAAGCTGGAGGAGGGCCCCGTGGGGGTCCATGTTCTACCGTTCGCGGGCAAATCTTTCCTCTCCAACGAGCTAAAGGTTTAACCGGCGGTAGTCGATCATGGGTTTGTAAAACATCGACGCCGAGAAATTGTTGCACTAATGGGGGGCTAGAATGAGTGGATGGGGATTGCATACTGCAAGACGTTTAAGGACATGAGCATTTTTTTTGCAAGTTCGACCTTGTCAGAGTTGGACCAGGCAGTTTCTCTTGTGACAGCTGAGCACGACCGGGCATTTTGTCGTCAGCGCTACTTCGCGGCCATTATCGAGCTCGACGCGCGGGAGGG